GACAACTCTATTTCACCCCCTCCCTTCCAAACTCACCCCCTTTTTTCCCCCCTTCACACATATATATATATATCCAAAAGCTTTGCTATATTACTTTTCACTCTGCCTATCGAGCCAGAATTCACCGCAAGTGAATGCATATGCCAATGACTAGCGATCAGAACTAATCGTAGTAGACCGTGTGCAATATTTAAATCTGTCAATTTGAACACTTCGCTTCCCGCAATTGAGAATCTCTCTCTTTGTATCATTCAGACATACGTTTCAATGATGTAGAGTAAAATTTGAGGCGAACAAAAAATAATATAGTATATGTTTACTTATCACGGGCTGGAGACAAAGCGAGAATCAGCGTTGAATTTCTTTCATCGGGTATGCGTGGAAAAATATCTTGGTAAACTGTAATCAAGATAGTAACTGTATAGTAAATGACTCGTGTAACTGGTAACCAAAAGCTAGGCGGAAACTGTTTAAAATTTTTATATTTTTACTATAGAAACGTCATAACCTCCTTCTCAATGAAAAACTAGATAGATTCTATCTAGGAAACCTATTTTAAATCGTCTATGCTCTAGATAGTTTCTATAAAGTTAAAGTACTTCGAAACTAGATGGTATAACTTTACCGTTTCTTTAGAGAAACTGTACAGTATGTGTGTACAGTAACTGTATAGAAATTAAATTGTATGACTGTACTACAACTGACCAGAAACTAGATAGTTTCTACATAGTTTGAGTACCTAGAAACTAGATAGTACAACTTTACTGTAACTCTGTAGAAACTAGGTAGTAAAACAGTACAGTAACTGTATGGAAATTAGATAGTATAACTGTACCATAACTGTTGAGAAACTAGACAGTAAAACTGGCCTGTCCTTTGTAAATTCTCTAGAAGTACTAGATAGTTTCCATACAGTTCAAATACATAGAAACAGATCAGTAAACTGTCCTGACCTTTATAAATAATGTAGATAGTTTCTACATAGTTTAAGTACGTAGAAACAAAATAGTTTTAATGTAGTCTTAGTATCTAGAAACTAGATAGTTTTGGTATGTTTTAATTATCAAGAAACTAGATAGTATAACTGTCTAGTTGCAATCAAGATGCACTAGATAGGTTTCATATAGTTCAAGTATCTAAAAATTAGAAAGTATAACTACCCTGACCTTACTAAATAATCTATAGATTGCCTAGATACTTTCCATATGGTTTAAGTACCTAGAAACTAGATAGTATAAATGTCATGATATTTATAAATAATCTATAGATTCACATGATAGTTTCCATATGGTTTAAGTACCATAAATATAAATATATAACAATATAGTTATAGTATCTAGAAACTAAATAGTTTCCAAACAGTTTATGTATATAGAAACTAGATAGTTTCCACATAATTCAAATTTCTTGTAACTAGATAGTTTCAATTTAGTTTAAGTATCTACAAACTAGATAATTTCAATATAGTTTAAGTATCAAGAAACTAGATAGTTTCCACAAGGTTTAAGTACCTATGAACTACATAGTTCCAATATAGTTCAAGTTTCTAGGAACTAGATAGTTTCCACACAGTTATACTATCTAGAAACTGAAGAGTATAACTGTCCTGACCTTTTTAAATAATCTAGATTCACTAGATATTTTCCATATAGTTTAAGTATATTTCCTAGCTAGTTATGGTGTACTTTAACTATACTGTGGCTATATAGAAAATAGTATAACTGTACTGTAACTACAGAAACTAGATAGTTACTAAGTAGTTCAATTATCTAGAAACTAGATAGTTTTAATATAGTTTAAGTATCAAGAAACTGGATAGTTTCCACAAGGTTTAAGTACCTATGAACTACATAGTTCCAATATAGTTCAAGTTTCTAGGAACTAGATAGTTTCCACACAGTTATACTATCTAGAAACTGAAGAGTATAACTGTCCTGACCTTTTTAAATAATCTAGATTCACTAGATATTTTCCATATAGTTTAAGTATATTACCTAGCTAGTTATGGTGTACTTTAACTATACTGTGCCTATATAGAAAATAGTATAACTGTACTGTAACTATAGAAACTAGATAGTTACTAAGTAGTTCAATTATCTAGAAACTAGATAGTTTTAATATAGTTTAAGTATCAAGAAACTGGATAGTTTCCACAAGGTTTAAGTACCTATGAACTACATAGTTCCAATATAGTTCAAGTTTCTAGGAACTAGATAGTTTCCACACAGTTATACTATCTAGAAACTGAAGAGTATAACTGTCCTGACCTTTTTAAATAATCTAGATTCACTAGATATTTTCCATATAGTTTAAGTATATTACCTAGCTAGTTATGGTGTACTTTAACTATACTGTGCCTATATAGAAAATAGTATAACTGTACTGTAACTATAGAAACTAGATAGTTACTAAGTAGTTCAATTATCTAGAAACTAGATAGTTTCAAATTAATTTAAGTATCCAGAAACTATAAAGTATATCTGTCCTGACCTTTTTCGTCATTTTAGTAAAAAAATTTTACTTCCAGAGTGTTTGTAATTCTTAAAACCGCGAAATTTTCAACAAAGTTGAATGGAAAAGAATTCCATGGAAGGTCATATACTTGAGTGACATTTAAATGAAAGAAATTTGCGCAATTTTGTGGAGCTGAAACAAGCGATTCGCGTATATTTATACAATTGGATGCGCTTGAAAACCAACATTTCCAGAATAGAGAAATATATATATATATATATATATGTATAGTATTATGTGTGCCTTCTCGTGTTTCCTGAAATAATTGGTTTGCACGAATTGATTTGGTCTGTTATCATCATCCCTTTGACCCTTACTCGCGCGGTGAATTGAAAGCTTATCACATATATAACACATGATCGTTTTATTCAAGTGTTTTCATTAAACTGTCATTATTATACTACAACTTGATTATATATATAAATTTGTGTACTAGTTTTATTATCTCGATCATTTAATACACCTGTTAATTACTGATAAGTGAATATCAAGAATTTTTTTTTATTATTGAAAAATTGGTAATTTTTTATATATTTTTTGTTTGGAAAATATTTTACGTAAATTAAAAATAATTTTTGTATGTTTATGTAAAAATTCTTTTTTTTCAGTTTTCAGGTGTCCATATAGTTCTTGAAGAAAACAAGTTGCAGAGCTACTACTAGAGTTTTGAGAAGGATGTGCGCAATGTAAGTTGATTAATTAACTTGAAACTTTGTTTTTTGAGGATTGTGATATTAGGTTAGAATTATTTGATTCAATTGTATAGGATTTTTTTTTTGGTTAGAAAAAACTGATTTGGTTGTGAAAGAAATTATTCGTTGGATGTTTATTTCAAATTTTAGAACTTTAATTTTTTGTTTAGTACTTTTTTAAAAATTTTTAGTACTTTTAAATTTGAGATGAAGGTAATATATTTTGCAATACAAAAAGTTAAAATGCTCATGTTAAAACGAAGACTATAATTTTTTAATGAAAATATATTAGAGCCTCTTAAAAGCAGTTCTGTGAGATTATGTTGTGCGTTAAAAAACAGCATAAATATTCATGCCGTACTTAAAATTACGATCTCATGTATAAAAAAAAGTGACTTATAACTTCTTGGAATTTCTATAAACTTTAAAAATTTGTGTTTGTTATTATTATTAGATAAAAAAGTAAAGTAGGGATGGGGGGGGGGGGGGTTATTTTCTGATATTTTTTCTTTATGGTAGAAAGTTGAATTGTCCTTCGTCCAAAATAGTGGGGTGTGGAGGGCACGTTATTAAAACTGTCATCCAAGGGATAAGACAATGCCGATTGTGAGTTCTTCGCGCGCGTCTCCTCTCGTGCCAGTGGTGGTTTAGCTTTGCTATTTCTCGATCTACTGCACCTCTGTCTGTTCTCTCGAGTCAGGATTTGAATAATCGTGAATGCTAGGCGGCTGTGGATGTTGCAGGAAGCTCATTAGGCATTGCCCGAGGTATTCTGGCCCCCAAGATGAACGGCACGCCATCTAGAACGTTCTCACTGTATGCCACAAAGTTTCTATATCATTTCTCTCCTGTTCATCGAAAATTTTCCAACGAAAACCAAGAGAGAGAGAGAGAGAGAGAGAGAAATTATCTTTTGGAATTTCATTCTTGTCGCTTTGTCTTTATCCTTGTGTCTCATACTAAAAACAATGATATTATGTATCAACATTCGCGTACGACAATATCGAAAGGTTTCTTTTTCACTCTTCTCTAATTTTTGCTACCATTAACGACTTCATTTGGACTTTAATTTCACTTCAATTTCACTTTCTCTTACATTCTCACTTTCACTCTCACTTACACTTTCATTTTCACTCTCATTTTCACTCTCGTTTTCACTTTCAATCTACTTTCACTTCATTATCACTCTACTTTCACTCCATTTTTCCTTCGTAAGTAAAAGTGAAATGAAAGCGAGTGAAAGTGAAGTGAAAGCGAGTGTAAGTGAGAGTGAAAGTGATAGTGAAGTGACGTGAAGATGGAGTCAAGTTACAAAATATTACCCCAGTTATTATATTGAATATCTATGAATATTATGATTAAGTCATACTAACATAATTAAATACATTCAATTATGTTATATCTATATAGATATAATAAAATAAATGCGAGAATGTGTGTTATTGTAGTAGACAATATTTAATGTCAAAGAAAATGGTTTTCCTTTTACTTTTGTATCCCTCCATTATTAAATATAATTTAATAATATTGTTAATGAGTACAGTGAAGCATTTTCGTTATAATAGAATGTGAAGTAGAGAATCGATAAATAAGGTATGATAAAATTCCCCTGTCAAATATATAGAGGAAATAAATGAATCTTTTAAATGTTAACAACATTATTAAATGATTGTTATACACGCGCGTGAAATGGAACGATTAATCACGCTTGTGATTTAAATTTCACTTGTCGAGCGAATGCTAAATTAATGAAATGAAATTAATAAGCGTGAAAGAATTTTTGACATACGTTACCTTCTAGTTTCAAATTCAGAATTTGATAAGGGAAAATCTGAAACAAAAATATGATTATTTTAATTTTTCTCCTTTTTATTACATTTTTAATTAACATCTCATTAGGGAAAATTTGATTTACTTGGATTTTTTTTACATATAAAAACATATTTAATTGTTTTTTTACTGAAAAGAAAAAATTTTTGTAAGGTCAGGGATTTTTTCATTTAACTTAATTTTTCACATAGTAAAATTATATTAATAACATTACATATAATTACGCACTAAATTCTTAATCTACAATCATTGTCTAAATTAATAATAATAAATAATTAAATAGAAATGTAAATAATTTTCAAGAAAAAACATGAATATGGAACAAAATTTATTGTTAAATAAAGTTGAGCATTGTGAAAATAGTTTTCTGAATACCGGTGGATTTGAATTTTTTTTTTTTTTTTTTTTTGAAGAGCAGGCGTTAAAGTAAAGCATATAAAAAAGTAGGAAACAAGTGAACAAAGAATAAAAAAAGAAAAAGAAAAAAGAAATTTAATATGAAAATTCTATTAATCCACGTGTCTGCGGTTTAAGTTTTTGAGTACCGAAGTGCCGGAATTTCCGGCATAAAATTATGCCCCCCAAACCGGGTTAAGTCGCGCGACCTACGTTCAGTGTGTGAGCGTTGCTCCTCTCCTCTGCTCACTCCTCGCATAAAATTACGACGCTTTATGACGGAAGTCACTCCCCATTCTTATTGCGACTTGCTCGAGTTCAAATGCAAATTTGAAACGAGTGCGCCCGGTCCGCGCACAACTTACTCCCGTATCGCGCGAGCTGTTGCACAAAGTTAGAAGTTTGATAAGCGAAACGATGTGCCCACTTGGGACGAAGACTCACTCACTCTCTCTCTCTCTCTCTCTTTCTCATTCTCTTTCTATGCATCTTTTGACTCTCGTGTTCAATTGTCTGAAATACAAGTCGTGTTTTACTAAAAGTTACATATTCTAATTTTTAATTGTACGAAAGAGAATTATGGAAAGTTTTTATTTTTCGAGATCCATGTGACTAATTTTATATAGCAACATAATAAAAACGAGATAGTACCACTGTCCTGACCTTTCTAAATATTTTATATAGAAACTAGAATAGAATCTATATTGAAACTAGACAGAAATTAGGTAGAAACTAGATACAAACTAGATAGAAACTATATAAGAACTAGATAGTATTTAGATAATTGCCCTGTCCTGACCACCTATATAGAATGTATATAGAAACTAGATAAAAGCTAGATAGAAACTAGAAAGTATATCTGTCAAGACCTTTCTAAATATTCTATATAGAAACTAGAATAGAATCTATATTGAAACTAGACAGAAATTAGGTAGAAACTAAATACAAACTAGATAGAAACTAGATAGTATTTACATAATTGTCCTGTCCTGACCACCTATATAGAATGTATATAGAAACTAGATAAAAGCTAGATAGAAACTAGAAAGTATATCTGTCAAGACCTTTCTAAATATTCTATATAGAAACTAGAATAGAATCTATATTGAAACTAGACAGAAATTAGGTAGAAACTAAATACAAACTAGATAGAAACTAGATAGTATTTACATAATTGCCCTGTCCTGACCACCTATATAGAATGTATATAGAAACTAGATAAAAGCTAGATAGAAACTAGATAGAATCCTAAAGTATATCTGTCAGGACCTTTCTAAATATTCTTTATAGAAACTAGAATAAAATCTATATTGAAACTAGTCTGAAACTGGATTAAAACTTTTTAGATACTAGATAGTATGTAGATAGTATAATTGTCCTGACCTTCTTAAATAATCCATATAAAATGTACAATTTCATCTATATTAAAACTAGACAGAAATTAGGTAGAAACTAAATACAAACTAGATAGAAACTAGATAGTATTTAGATAATTGCCTTGTCCTGACGACCTATATAGAATGTATATAAAAACTAGATAAATGCTAGATAGAAACTAGAAAGTATATCTGTCAGGACCTTTCTAAATATTCTATATAGAAACTAGAATAGAATCTATATTGAAACTAGACAGAAATCAGGTAGAAACTAAATACAAACTAGATAGAAACTATATAGAAACTAGATATTATTTACATAATTGCCCTGTCCTGACCACCTATATAGAATGAATATAGAAACTAGATAAAAGCTAGATAGAAACTAGATAGAATCTAAAAAGTATATCTGTCAGGACCTTTCTAAATATTCTATATAGAAACTAGAATAGAATCTATATTGAAACTAGACAGAAATTAGGTAGAAACTAAATACAAACTAGATAGAAACTATATAGAAACTAGATAGTATTTACATAATTGCCCTGTCCTGATCACCTATATAGAATGTATATAGAAACTTGATAAAAGCTAGATAGAAACTAGATAGAATCTAGAAAGTATATCTGTCAGGACCTTTCTAAATATTCTTTATAGAAACTAGAATAAAATCTATATTGAAACTAGGCAGAAACTGGATTAAAACTTTATAGATACTAGATAGTATGTAGATAGAATAATTGTCCTGACCTTCTTAAATAATCCATATAAAATGTACAATTTCATCTGTATTAAAACTAGACAAAAACTAGATACAAACTAGATAGAAACTATATAAAAACTAGATAGTATTTAGATAATTGCCGTGTCCTGACGACCTATATAGAATGTATATAGAAACCAGATAAAAGCTAGATAGAAACTGTATAGAAACTAGAAAGTATATCTGTCAGGCTCTTGCTAAATATTGTTTATAGAAACTAGAATAAGATCTATATTGAAACTAGACAGGAACTAGATAGAAACTAGAATAGTTTCTATTTAGGAACTAGATAATATCACTGTCCTGACCATTCTAAATAATCTAGATGCACTAGATAGTTTCAAATTTATCACAATTTATTTATTTATTTATTTATCACATTTTTGTTATAAAATTCACATTTGATAGAAAAGAACATAATTTGAAAATGTCAGGGATAATTATAGTGAAAATTTTGTTGCAAGTCTGTAATTTTTTTTATTTCATGCAAAGGATTTTTATGTAATATAAATATGCGAGTAAGAAATTTAAAATACTGTTTTAATATTGTAGAATAACATAGGATTCAATGTTGTAATTTTAAACTCGAATGAAAAGTTTCCTTTGATATTCTCAATGATGCTCATTAGTAATTTTGTTTGATGTAGTTGAATATTTTTTTCAGCTTATATTAGTAAAGTTTTGAATGAAAAAAATTTATTTAAATTATGCGTAAATTCATTTATCTCACTAATAAGAACTTTTACTAGTATTATTAAAATTGGATTAAAATTATTTCGTATACGCTTTTTTTTATTGTCTAACTGTAAAGAAACTGTTACTACTAATTCCAAAATTTTCATTTATTAAAATCATTATGCCTTACTAAAATTTGTTTGTACTAATGTCAATTTGTTAAAATTTTTTAAAGAATGTCTGCATTTAATTTTTACTACTGATAAAAAAATTAGAGGACTTAAAAAATTTGTGTCTGACTAAAATTGACTTATACTACTGTAATTAAATTTTTTTTAAAGTTTTGTGAACTTTTTGCCTGATTAAAACTGGTTTTTACTACTATTAGTGCAGAAAATACATGTATTTTTTCATTCTGAACGAAATTTTCATTTATGGTACCATAATTACAGGAATTAATTCCCTTTGTCTGACTATAATTGTCATTTACTACTGTAACTGAAATTACAAAAATTTAGAATGTGTAAAGAACTTTTACTACTTTTTATTTTGCTAAAATTACAAAAATTTAAATACTTTTCAGAAAATTTTAGTTAATTTCGTTTTTTTTTCTCAGATTGAAGTTTGATAATAGTAAATATAGAATTTGGTCGTTGGTAAATTAATTGTCAATACATGTTTCAGCAAATATGACAATAAAGAGAATAATCAATTTCATTTGAACGAATAGAGTATAGGGATTAAAATGAAGGCATAACATTTAAAATTGATGTAATTATTTTAAAATATTTAAAGATTAAGATAAATTGGTGGATAGTTTCTTTTTTTTTTGTAAGAATGAGTCTCAGCACGTTTTATTGAGATCTTCAGTTTAAAGAAATAAAATCAATTCACTTGGAAAGTATCGCTCGCCTGATCGGTTTGGAAGTTTACTACTGGTTATTCAAGGACCCTTCGACAGTTACATTTACCTTTTTCAATAGCTTGTACTTTGAACGATCATCAGGAAAAGAAAGGTCCTGCAATCTTTGCCAGTTATTGCCTCTTTTCGTTCGAGTAAACCTTGACGCTGCAGAAAAGTAGTTACTTATGCTTTATCCAATAATTGAAAGCAAACACTACAATAAATTATGTTTGTTCTTCGAAGCCTGGTAGATTCATATATAGAACACGCTTGCTTTTAAATTCTCTTTTTCTAAAACGAGAGAATAAAAAAAAAACTTTACTCCTTATATTCACTGAAGCAAAATTTTATATATCATATTTTCGTAAATTAAATACTTATTTATTTACAAATATAAAAAAAAAACGATCGTGTACTTTGAGAAAAATTTTTATGAGTAACGAATATAAAGAAAATTAGTATTGTTTATCTATTTTTAAAAGTCTATTTACTTAAAAAGGTTCGAAACTTTTTTGAAACTGTTTAATAAAAACTTTTTTTTTACTGTCCAGCGCTTAATTGTAAGACAATTTAAATTAACATAAAAGCTGAAAATTATAGCGCAGGTATTCTTTAGTTATATAAAAGAGAGAATGAGAGTAGAAAGTTTTGTCGGTATTTGAGTCGTTACACTGGCACTCAATACATCCCCCCCTCTGTAAAAAGTATATGAAACTGGTTGTAATTACTTTGAAATGCCCTAGGGCATATCTTGGCGACTCTGATGAGTTTTTACTCGAAGCAATGATCCCTACTCAAGAACAATCCTTGAGAGTGAGAATATTCCTTGAATGTTCAACCACGCGAAAAAGAAAGTCTCGTATAATGACGTTTTTATTCCCTAACAA